CTGCATATGAATTCGTACACTACCCCCCACGCACGTTTCGCGAAACACGAACCGACATTATGAGCGCACCTGGCGCAGGACCAAGCTCGAACATGGTTGTTTCAAGTACAGCTGTGGGAATTCGGCCTGTTGACGAACGCCTACGGCAAAGGCAGCCTAGCGTTCTGCACAATGCCTCCAGTCTCCACTTTTGAGAGAATGTGGAAGCGTAGATGGACAGAAGAGATGGAGCGAGCGCGTCAACGTCGGCGCATAGTCCACATCTCGAACGGTCTACTGAAGCAACACACCTGCTCGACAACCGCCCCTCCCTGAGAGCAACATATCTGGCCGAAGCAACCTCCGAACGATTCAAGTGTGTCAACCCTGTCGTATGCAAAAGGGCTTGTTGTTGAACACTTAACGCGCTTTCCTCCCGTCCCCGTGGCCTCTCCGCCACTGTCCAGTAATAAGCCTCGAAAGAAATACAAGTTGCCCCGAGAGGCCCCCGTAAATGCCCCTAGAGGATCCACGAGCGGCTCTGAATGTTTCTCGGCCGAAGCGACGTGTGGAAGCCAATAAGAACATCCAAAACGGCCCAATAGAAACGTAGCAGCCGCAAGAGGTCCCCGGGCCGGCTCAGAACAATTTGGGCGACATCGGGGTCGGCTTGGGGCGCTCTTTTGAGCCTCGGAGACGAACTTGTTTGCCTGTTCTTGGCAACGTTTGGTGGGCGGCAGTCTGGGGAGATGGAGAGACGTGTTCCCCTAAACAGGGAATACGGCCTATTTACATGGAAACACGCTGCGCCCATGTGGACATATTGGGAAGGATTGCAAAAAAACCCAGGATTGCAAAAAAAAACCAGGGATTGTTTTGCAATCCTGGGTTTTTTTGCAATCCTTCGTTTTTTTTTTGCAATCCGGTTTTTTTTGCTATCCTTCGTACGAGCGGCATACTGAGATTTCGATACTGTGGAATATTCCGAACGAATATGTATTGCAAGCCATGCCATCCCTCGGAGCGCAATGGCCGCTCGGACGCAGTTATCACTCGTAAGCCTTGCTGGGTCGCGGGCGCGTTTATCGAGCTCTCAGATCACAAAGTACTTTCCCAAACTGAACCCATGAGCTGAGAGGACGTTCCAAACAAATAGCTTGCTGACTATTTGAAATCCAGTGTGTCCGATCACGATGCAACTGACAATTTCAATCCAACTACAGGAAGCAGCTAGATAAGGAGTGCTACCCACACGGGGAAACACATTTGTCAAGCGAACGAAGATACCAATATTCATGCGAACGGGTGGAAGAAAAAAAAAGCGCACTGCATAAGCAGCCGGAGAAAGAAAACAAGGATCGCAGAGCAGTGATCAGATCATAGTCCGCTCACGCGCTGTACTAGCCTATGGCATGACGGGGGTACCGTGCTGCAGAGACGGCGAGCGGCAGGCGTTCGCTCCGTAGGACAATGCTGGGGGTCAGCGAAACTCCCGCACGACGCCCCCCACTTCCGACAGCCTGAAATTCACGCTATGGCCTCTCAGCAAATGTCGACGGCACTCTGTGGCTTGGCCAATATTATCTCACTGGCCTTCGATGATTCCTCCGATTCGGGCTGCTGGAAGAGGCTCGGAGGGTCGATTCGCGTGGGGGCGCAAGGGGGTGCAAAAATGAGTCCGAAAGAATTTGCGCATTACAAACCGGTGCTTGCGCTCACCATTAGGTGTCAAATACTCTCTTGCCGCGCAAGCCGCGAAACCGACCTTCAAAAACACACGCTTTTCCTTCGCACAGCTCCCGACACGTACGACAAAATCTAGGAGCGCAAGTTCCCTGGCCCAGCGCGCCAACGACGTGGTAGAATCTTCGGCAGGAGGTTCTAAGCCCAACAGCGCGCCTGGAGCGGGGGTATATGGTGGCAGGCCCCAGGATGGCCCCAAGACAGTCCCAAGCGGCCCAAAGGTAGCTCCGAAACGCACCTAAATGATCGAAGACACCAGCCACGAGTCTCAAATCCGCCGGCCCCCTTGTGGGGCCACCAGGCTGTAGGCCGGAGGTTCGCAGTTTCCTGCGCCAGTTGCAGCTTCCAGTTTCCACTGATACAGTTCTGCTTCTTGCTGTTTACTTTTCCTTGTTACAGTTCTGCTTCTTGCTGCTTACTGTTCCTTGTTGATGGACCGCGCGAGGGCGGAAGGCCCAAAACAGGCATTTTGACCACGCCCAAATCGTATTGTCTGAATTGCTGGTGTGGGTAAACATCACACAGATCGGCGGGGACAGGGTCCAAAAACACATGTGATTTGCCACATTTCTGAAAATTGGGCGGCACCCATCACGCAGATCGGCGGGGTCAGGGTCCAAAAACACATGGGATTTGCAACATTTTTGAAATTCGGTGGCACCCCTCACGCAGATCGGCGGGGTCAGGGTTCAAAAACACATGTGATTTGCAACTTTTCTACTTCTAAAATTCGGTGGCACCCCTCACGCAGATCGGCGGGATCAGGGCCCAAAAACATACAAAGGATTTGCCACATGTCTGAAATTCGGCGGCACCCCTCACGCAGATCGGCAGGGTCAGGGTCCAAAACATACAAAGGATTTGGTACATTTCTGAAATTCGGTGGCACCCCTCACGCAGATCGGCGGGGCCAGGGTCCAAAACACAAATGTGATTTGCCACTTATCTGAAATTCGGTAACACCGCTCACGCAGATCGGCGGGGCCAGGGTCCAAAAACACATGTGATTTGCGACTATTCTGAAATTCGGTGGCACCCCTCACGCAGATCGGCGGGATCAGGGTCCAAAAACACATGTGATTTGCAACATGTCTGAAATTCAGCGGCACCCCTCACGCAGATCGGCAGGGTCAGGGTCTGAAAGCAAAGAGGATTTGGTACATTTCTGAAATTCGGTGGCACCCCTCACGCAGATCGGCGGGGTCAGGGTCCAAAAACACAGGGGATTTGCATCTACTCTGAAATTCGGTGGCACCCCTCACGCAGATCGGCGGGGTCAGGGTCCAAAAACACAAGGGATTTGCAACTACTCTGAAATTCGGTGGCACCCCTCACGCAGATCGGCAGGGTCAGGGTCCAAAAACAAATGTGATTTGCGACTATTCTGAGATTCGGCGGCACCCCTCACGCAGATCGGCGGGGTCAAGGTCCAAAAACAAAAAGCATTTGCCACATCTTTGAAACCCGGTAACACCCCTCACGCAGATCGGCGGGGCCAGGGTCCAAAACATACAAAGGATGTGCCACTTATCTGAAATTCGGTAACACCGCTCACGCAGATCGGCGGGGCCAGGGTCCAAAAACACATGTGATTTGCAACTATTCTGAAATTCGGTGGCACCCCTCACGCAGATCGGCGGGGTCAGGGTCCAAAAACACAAGGGATTTGCAACTACTCTGAAATTCGGCGGCACCCCTCACGCAGATCGGCAGGGTCAGGGTCTAAAAGCAAAAGGGATTTGCCATATTTCTGAAATTCGGCGGCACCCCTCACGCAGATCCGCAGGGTCAGGGTCAAAAACACAAGGGATTTGCCACATGTCTGAAATTCGGCGGCACCATCCATCACGCAGATCCGCAGGGTCAGGGTCGAAAAACAAACAGGTCCTGACACTGCTTCACGGCGAAGCCAACGCCTCATGACTTCGCTCTTCCATGGCCCATTCTCCGAGAGAGGGGGCCGGCGGCAGGGGGCGAAGCCTTTATGGATAGTTGCTCAACGATTCCGACTTTATCGCCTTTTCGCTTTGTATGGGTTTCTGAGGCCTGAAGACGGCTCCGAGATCGCCCAAGATGGCCCCAGGTGGGACTGGTGGTAGGGCTCCAAGAGGGCTCTGAAGCGTTCCAAGAGCGAGCAGGGAGATGCCCAAGGAGCCAGAGAGAGGCACAAGACTGGGGACACACAGGTGGCAGCGTCCCCAGTATAATCCCAAAAGGTCCCAAGGTAGTCGCAAGGTGGCCCAGGACGGTCCAAGACAGCCCTGAAGAGGCCCCAAGGAAGCTCAAATCCTTCAAATCAATAACTAAGCTTTTAAACTGAATTTTGATTGCTCCCCTTGTCGGTTGCTATTGTTTTCAGGCCTCAAGATGGCTCCTCTATCGCCCAACATAGCTCCAAGCGGGGCCTCGAAGGACTCCACGAGGACTCTCGAGATCTAAAAGAGCACCCCGAAGCTTACGACAAGCACCCAGGAACCCCCAAGAAACTGTGCAGACACTCCCAAGAGTCTGCCAATATTATCTGGCATCGTACGAAGGAGCTCAGCATAACGTGAGGCAAATCGATTCATATTTCTCATGATGCATGCCTTCTCGTCCTTTCAGACTTCCACGGTGCGACTTTGGTGGGGACGTCTTCCCTCGGCTGGTGCCCTCCATCTGCCCGGCGACTGCTTCTCCCCACCGCAAACTCCACAACCCTGGTCGGGGACAGACTTGCCGCCCAACGAATTACCAATCGCCACACCACACAAGCAGCTGGCAACAGTGATTAAAGATGGGTCGCTGGTGTGCGCGAAGCGGTTGAGAAATAAGCGCAAGGGGTAAAGACGACCCCGCAACAGCCCGAAGAGGCTCAACATTTACAAACCAAATGCCAATAGTGAGACGATGTAGGCTGGTGGAGTGAGCGACGCGATGAAATAAGATCCTCACTCATGCCAGGACGGCCCATGAGGGCCCAAAAGCCAGACAGGAGCCCAAAGGCGGCCTTTCTCTACTGTTCCCCGAGTGGCTTCTCCAACGACTGGGGCAACACGCAGTCCACTGGCATGGCTGGACTTTCGGCCGACGTTTCACTACACAGGCGTACCCAATGGGCAGGGGACTGCGGTGACTCGCCGGAGGCGTCTTCGATAACATGCTGGCAGAAGCGGGGGGGGCAGCATGTGCATGTCCTGCGAGCGAAGGCCTGCCCCTGATGCGCGCCGATTCGAATTTCAACAGGGGTTCACAGGAACTATTATGCTACCTTGTGCTACGTTACCGCGGCGAGAGGCTTACAGCGTGCAGAGCTCGCCTTCTTCCTGCAGGCAAGGGTGTACGATATCAAGCACATTGCCCGTATGCATCACATTTTGAACAACTATTTGACAGGCTTTGCTAACAGCAGCGCGAACTTGCAGATGAAGAATGTGCGTGTTGAGGCAGAGATCTCGCTTCTTAGCGCTTGCACCAACCACTGGGCCTGAGACGCAAGATATAATCTGGATCGCTTACAACATTAGCCAAACGTAGGATCCGTATAAGGTCACACGCAAGCGGCAAAGGTTCAAGCCGTAGTCCGACTCGATATTCGCGACGTGGATATATGCAACACCCCCAAAACACTTCTACATCTTGCTCACAACGAAGGGTGCACCAATGCACCGATGATTACCAGCAGGAACCCAGCGAAGACTTCTCAGCGAGGCCAGACGGGCCAAACAGTATGGGAGAAGATCACACAAACGTGACAGAAGTAAGCAACACGGGCAGGATGCATGGTTGGGGTCATCAAATGTGTCCGGGGCCAGTCGTCCAGCAATCTTCACCGAGATTCCACCGAGATACGTGGCTGACCACGAAGTAATGTTTTGGCTTTAAAATTTAGAACTACGTATGCCTTGAAAGCGAGTGTAACCACGGCGTGGACAGATGCGGCACGCGACGCATAGTAGATAGCGCGCTGCGCGTCTACCTCTCTCTCTCTGTCTGTCTGTCTGTCTGTCTGTCTGTCTGTCTGTCTGTCTGTCTGTCTGTCTGTCTGTCTGTCTCTCTCTCTATCTTTTCTGTCTGTCTGTCTCTCTCTCTCTCTCTCTTTGTATCGTGTATGTCTACATTTATTCATACTATACATAGTATGGTGTTTTCTCTTTCTCTGTCTCTCTCTGTACAGCCCCTCTTGTTATCGCCTCCTCTCCATTCCCTCCCAACGACAGGCATACAATGAACATGATAACGTGGGATTGTGGTAACCCCGAACTGGTCAAATCAAAAGATCATCTGGGCACTCCCGAGACGCTCATGGCCCCTGGGGCGCCCTGGAAAGCGGGCACGTGTCCAACCGCACGGAGCGTGACTGCCAGCACGGCAGCTGTTCTGGGAAGCCACCAGGTGACCAGGTGGGACATTTCCATGCGGGGGGGACACGCCACAGATGCCCCCATGCTGACATGCACACATTTCTCCTCGAATCTTCTTAGAAGGACCCCAATCGTACACAAACTCGGCCCTGGGCACTCCCACCAACGCGAAACTCCAATTCTCGGTTTCGGGAGCCCTCAAGGCCATCCTATGCCGCCCGAGCGGGCCCAGGATCGCTACCCGGACGGTCCCGCGGAGCCCCGAAACGGCCCGAGGCCGCTCCAGAACGGCTCATGAGAGCTCAACGAGGACCCAAGGTGGCTTCAAGACGGCCCAGCAGGCTCCCAAGTCGTCTCAAGAGCCCCCCACGAGGACCCCCCCGACGCAAAAGTCTGAGTATTCCCTCAGGGAAACGTGCATGTTCAACATATTTGCTTCTTTGGTCGCCACGGCGTCCACGACGGCTCAGAAGACCCCACAGATCGCTCCAGGACGGCCCCAAAATTCACCCAAAGGGCCCCAACGGCTCAAAAGCCTCGAAGACAGCCCAAGACGGGCCCCAGAGGGCCCCAAAAGGCTCCCAAGAGCGCCCCAAGAAGGCCACAGGAGGCCCCCAAGAGGGCCCAGGAGGGCCCCAAGAAAGCCTCAGGACGACCCAATCCCCCCAAGACGGTTCAAGAGGGTCCCGGTATGGCCTAGGAAGGCCGCCAGATGGCCCCAAAGAGCCCCCAAAGTATCCCACGAAGGCCTTGAGAGGCCACGTTCATTATTGTTCGCGAGGTTGCGTGGTAGATGTTTCCAACCACTTGCCAAAGTCTAAACACCAAGACGCTCTTGAACCCTGAACGCGCGATATCGCGCCCTCACACAATACGAGCGGCGCAACTGGCTTTCAAGGAGGCCCCAAGACGGCCCAAGAAGGTCGCGAAACGCCCCCAAGACGGGTTCAGATGGCGCTATGAGACGTTCGAGCCCTATGGGCCCTATGAGGTCTACGATCCCTATGCGCCCTCCCAGATGCCCCCGAGACGCCTCTCCCTTTAGCCCTCTGAGGCCCATGATCTTACGGGCCCATGAGCCCAATGAGCTTCTGAGCCCTACGACACCTATGAGCCCGACGACCGTACGAGCCCTTCGAGCCCTTCAAGCCTCGCGAAACCTACGACCCCTGTCAGCACTACGAGCCCTCATAGCCCCATCAGCCTCATCTGCCCTATGACCCCTACGAGCACTCTGCAACACGTACGCTCACGAGCCCAATGCGCCGTACGACACTACGCTCCTCACGAGCTCATTCGCCTTCTAACCCCTACGGACCCCAACATCTTTATCAGCTCATAAGCCCTTCGGTCCTTCCCGACCATGTCACTGCTACGACCCCAATGAAGCCGACGAGCCCTATGAATCCGACGGGCTCGGTGGGCCTCATGGGCCTTGTGTCGCTTATGGGCCGAAAAAAAACCTACGAGCCCTATGCGCCCTATGAGCCTCGTGGCCACCACGGTCCGCGCGACCCCTAAGAGCCTCAAGAGCCCAATGAACACTCTGAGCCCCGTCGGCTCTATGAGCCTCATTACCCCGACGACCCGTTCTGAATATGATGAGCCTCCTGGGCCCAATTAGCACAATGACCCTTATGAGTCCCATGAACCTCACAAACCCTGTGAGCCGACTCGCTGCATGGGGCCCAACTGCCAATGGCTTATGTGAGGCCACGGACCCTACGAGCCTCCACGTCCAATGAACTCATCAACCCGAAGAACCCTCTGAACTCAAGTATGGCTGCGGGCTCTCAGAACCTCATGGTCTCCAGGAGCTGTGCTGCCCGAAGTGCCCCTCCTCCACATTCGCGCTCCGAGCTTTTGGGCCCCAATGGCGGCGGAAAGCCCTTTAGACCTCTGACCCAGAGGAGCTCATACGTCGTACTATCAGCTCTGCCCCATGGGCCCCGTTGACGAAACCTACCGCGGTGCTGGCTACTACCAAAAACGGCGCGCCTCGCTGGCGCCATGCGACCAAGATTCCCAAAGCGAAGCGAATCGAGCCGGTAACATCCTGATTATAAACGATATGCACACATCTATCTATACGTTTATGTAAATCCGCATCCGTTTATGTATACACATGTATGTATATGCAAATATGTGTACATCTACATATATGTATATGTATATATATATATATATGCATAGAAACATCCGCTACTGTGCCCCCCTGGCATGTGACGGCGTAATCGAATTCCTGGTGCCGCACTGTCAGGTTTCTGCGTTCTAGTAATGGACCCCCCTCGCACCAGAGTGCCGCGTGCAGCCCCCCTCTCGAAACCATGATCTTTCGCGAACAACAGATGGGTCCGCGCTCCCGAGGCCACGATCCCTTGTTGAAAACGGTGGGTGCACGCATCCAGAGCTTCCACGACGGCCTATGCAGGCAACCACAGACACCAAACTGGCCGAAGAAGCCTCGAAGACGGCCTGAAATGGGCCCACGGCGGCCGAATATGGCTTCAAGACTGCCACAGGTGCCCCCCAAAGGGCCCAACATGGCCACAAAAGGACGTCCAGCAGGGCCAGAAGAAACCAGCATCGCGTATTCTTGCTAGGTTTTCGACCGATTGTTGCCGTCAAGTCTGTTCGGGCGTCCGTCAGCTCAAGACGGCCCAAGAAGTCACCACGCTGGTCCCAAGACGGCCCAAGAGCCCCCAACAGGGCCCCAAGGTGGCCCAAGAGAACCCCGCGATGGCCCAAGAGGCATCGAAGACGACCCCAAGACTGCCCAAGAGGGCCTCGCGCGGGACCCAACACGGCCTTGGAAAGCCCTTCGACAACTCAAGGCGACGACGAGACGGCATCAAGGCGGCCCCCAGGCACCGAACATACGAACACGAGGGCCCTGACACCGCCCACGAGAGTCTCAAGACGGCGAGCGAAAGAGGGCCCCAACACGGCCTTAGAGGACCCCAAGGAACCCCCAAGACTTCCCCACGACGGCCTAAACGAGTTCCATGATAACTCCTCAATGAATGAACGCGGAGTTGTCACATGTCACGGCCTCCCTCTTCCTCTCCGTCCTGTTACTGCTGCTCCTCCTCCTCCTCCTCCTCCTCCTCGTCATGATCACCACCACCACCATCACCATCACCATCACCATCACCATCAATACACTATCACCACCACCGTCACCACCATCAGTCGCGAACATCAGCACCAACATAACCAACATGATCATCCCAAACATCTCCATCATCCTCATGATGCCTATCCCAACACCTGGGGAAACGAGGTGCCACGCGTGACAATCTCCCGTGCCCCCTTGGGGGCGGGAGTTGTCGCATACATCTCGAGAGAGGAGGAGAGAGATAGAGCGAGCGAGAAAACGAAACAGAGTGAGAACGGGAGAAAGACAGAAACAGAGAGAGAGAGAGAGAGAAAGAAAGAAAGAGAGAGAGAGAGAGAAAGCGAGAAAGAGAGGGACACACACATATATGCATATCTGTACATATAATCAAGAGCGACGGAGATCTCGGACCAATGGCACCACGTGTCCGCAGGCAGCCGGGCAAGCGCGACGCACCTGCAGCACATTGGCCAGCGCTACGGCTAAAGGGGCCCTGCACGCCAGTCTTGGGCGGTCGGCCTTGGGAGGAGAGAGAGAGAGAGGGGGGGGGGGGCGAGAGGGACCGCCCCCGCCCAAGCGACTACATGGTGGAACTGTGATGCTGCCTCGCAGCCGTTCGAACCCACAAGTTGGGCAAAGCGGAGCCTGCACCCGTCTTTGGCATGACGGCACCTCGCTGGAAGTGGCGGCATCCATCCAGCACCCCTTCAGGACCCGCAGTGGGGAAGGCCACAGTGGAAGCTTGCCAGGCGGCGCGGGCCTGGAACAGGAGGTTGGCTGGGGCTTCTAGCGAGAAACGTTTGAGCCGCGTGGGGGGCGGTTGCGACGGAGGCGGAGACACTAGTCGCCGAAGGGACGAGCGAGGCCTGACGCTAGACGGTGGCGTGAGGGTCGCGCAGAGTGGTGAAGTGCCGTCGCGTCGTGCGGCGGACATGATCGGAAAGGGACTGGACGTGCTCAAGTGGCGCTCGAGCCGCGCCAAGCGGTCTGCCGCGGGCTGAGCTTGGGCCTGAGTGGCTTGCCCCAGCGACGGGAGGGGGGCCAGCGCGGCCGTCTGAGCGGCATGCCCGGCCCTACGCACCACGGGTGAGATTCCCCAGCGCTCGACCTGCGCCCGCGCGGGAGGGGGGGCCCGGAAGATGCGGGGCGCGCCTGAGGTGGCCTGGGCCGCCTGAGGTGGCCTGGGCCCTCGTGGCGAAGGAGGGCCATAGGGCGAGGCAAGCAAAGGACCACCACGGAGGGCAGGCCGGGGGAGCCGCGATGCTGGTAGGGGGGGGGTCAATGCCACTGTGTGTTGTTGTGAGAAGTGGTTCGGGTCCCCATGCAGATGTAGCGCCAGTGGTTGCTATAGAAATAGGCCCGGGCGGTCATGATGTCGTCTGGGCATCCAGCGTGCTTGGCCCTTTGGAGGCAGACGTCAGTAATGAGATCGTCGAAGCACATTTGGCGGCCCAGTGCAGCTCCAGCCAACGGTAGAGCGATGGCTCGCGCATGCTCTACTTGGAGAGCGAGGGCGGTGCCGACGTCGCCGATGGTGGCGTGTGGGACGGCCCCGAAGCTGGTAGCGTGCGTCCACTGTCAGCGCAATTTGCCTTGGGACCCACAGGCGGGTCCTTCCCAAGCGTACATTCATAACGCCATCGCGGAGAGGGGCCGTTGGCCGGTTGGAAGCTCGCCGCGCCCTTTGCGTGGGCGCGGGTTCGGGACGCGGAGCAGGAGGTCAGGGGGCGCGCTGCACGGCTCGCAGGGTGCGAGCGAACAGCCGCCACAAGCCGTCCGGGGAAGCCTTAGCTTCCCTGGTGGTCCATCCGCCGAGCCCGCCCGCGCGTCGGGGGGGACGGCGGCGGATGAGATCGATGAGCATGTCGTCCGCGAGGGTAAAAAAGGGCCGCTTGAGCGCGCGGGGGGAGCTCGGCGGCGCACTCCTCCGCAAAGGCGCTCCACGCGGGGATCGGCTCACGGTCTCGAAGCCGCGGGCGCGACATCGCGCAGAGATGGGTTCCCAATTGTCGACCATGAGCCTGAGCATCGCCTGGGTATCGGCTAATTATGATCTCGTTGGGGCGCTGGTGGGCCGCATGTGCGATGTGCTCAACGTCGGGTTCGTCGTCGGCCGAGGCGCGTGGGTCAGTAGCGCGCGACAGGTCGTTGTCTGCACCCTGGGAGAGCTGCGTCGTCGGACAAATATTCATCTTTCGCATCTGGGTCCCGCACCCCCGGGGGGGTCGTGGGGGTCCCTGTGCGGCGTGCGCAGGTAGCGGGCGGCCGAGGTGCTGGCGGCCTCAATTAACCCAGGCGGCTTTGGCGCGCCCGTGCCCCAACGCGCGCATCGGGGTGGTCCATCCCTTGATGCGCGCAGCCTTGTGGTGGTCACGGTTGCGCCAGATGTCGGCGTGGACTTGGGCCGTGTGGTCAGCAAGCAAGTGCCCTTCTGGGGGTGCGTTGTCACGCCAAGCTGGGAAATCGGCGGCTGCGCCGAGCTTGGTGCCCAGGCGCCCGTTGAGTAGCGTGGCGTTTGTCCACATGTGGTAAATGCGGGTGGCAAGAGCGGCACGGGCTGAGCCGGCGGCCCCCGCCACGGCATGCTGCATTTTCGCTGGGGGCTTCAGCTTGCGTGGGAGTCTCTGTTGTTTGAAGGTGATCTGGTCAGCGACCCCGTCGTCGGGCGCGAATCTGGGGAGGGCGTGCCCGGCGTAGAAGATGGCGGTGGTGCCGTGCTTCGAGGGCTTCTGCCGGCCTGAGGCGACACCAGTACCCGCGTCGCGTTGAGCGCGCGCGTGAAAGGCGTGCGCCGCGTCGTTGGCGATCCTGAACATGGCGTTGGGATCGTCGGCGCTGTCCGTCGCCTGCATGGCTTCGGAGTCAGCGCCTGGCAGGAGCGCGGGCAGGGCCTGTGGCTGAGTCGGGGCCGGGCGAGGCTGAGCCTTCTGGCTGGGCGGGGGAGTCGGCCGGCCCTTGCGCAGCTGGCGGCGCCGCGGCGAGTGGCGCGGCCAGCGCTGGGGGCGGCTGCGCGGCGCGCGGTTGAGGAGGCAGCACGCGCCGCCGCATGGGGCCCTCCGCTAAGCGCCGCGGCACAGCAGGCGCACCGGCGGCAGCAGCCGCAATGGAGCTGCGTTGGGGGCGGTGCCGAACCAGCGGGGGCGCACCGACTGGCCCCACCGCGGGCCACTGGCCCCCGGAAAGGAATCATTTGGTCCGGCCGCGCCTCAGCCGGAGGCGGGACACCGGCGGGACACCGCGGGCCACTGGCCCCCAGAAAAGAATCATTTGGTCCGGCCGCGCCTCAGCCGGAGGAGACTTTCTTCTCGCCCGCCCACGCAGCTTCGCCTTGCCCGCACGCACGGCACGCACGAACACGAAACAGAAACCGATTTCCTGGTAGGGGGGCTCTCCGTTCCACTTCGATCTCTATATAGAAAGAGAGAGAGAGAGAGAAAAACAAAAAAAGAAAGAAAGACAGAGAGAGAGAGAGAGGGAGAGCGAGAACGAACAAAAAATAGAGAGACAGTGAGCGCGCGCGAGAGAAAGAGACAGAGAGAGAGAGAGAAACAACATACATATAGCTAACAAGAGGAGAGACAGAGACAAGGAGAGAGAGAGGTGATAGAACCAAGGGGTGGTGGGACAACGGGCGGGGGACAAACCGGAAGGAAGGGCTGAGGACCAAGATGATGTGTCTGCGCGTGCACCTTTACCGTCGCCACCCCACTTTACATTATCGGGCACCTCGGGTCGTAATCTGCGCAGTTGTCATGTGAACGCACGCGAAACCGACCAGCTTCTAAGCACAAATCTGCTGTGGATTTGCAGTGACGAGGGCCATCCAATGCTTTACACGCTCTAGGTGCATTGGCACGCAAATCGATACGCCACCCAGGCCGTCGCAACTAGTATGGATCTCATCCAAATTGAGCTCTGCCCGTTGATGCAGGGGTGTCCGACTGCGGTCTACGGGCCACGTGAATAGGCAACAGACGCTTAGCAAATTATGGCATTGCTTCGCTGGTTGAGCACGCGTGATGCTGCATGGGCCGCCTGTGCCCATCGATTGGCCATACAATGGCAAACCGCTGAACTCCACTAAACTCGAGATGGGTCCGATGTCCATGGCGACTTTTGCAAGCCGTGTTAGGGTTCGGCAAACTTCGGGCCAATTCTCCAAAAACGCGGGCTGCCCAAGGCCAATGCCCCCTAACCGCTCAGCCCTGGATTGTCGTACCCCCCATAGCAGCTGCACTCCTGCTGCTGCTGCTGCTGCTACGATACTCGGTTGATCCAAACCTAGATTCCTGAGGCCTGCGGGGGGAACCTTACCTGTTTCTTTCAACGCAGCAGTTTGGGATTCCGCCCACAGCGCAGCAGTGGTGACATATGTACACGGCTTTGCATGGGGGCGATCGTCAATGACCAATGCGACTCTGATAATTTAGTTTTCGGTGATCACGGAAATCATGATGCGATGCCAACCGCGCCTCCTTGGCGTCGCTAGCTGTTCACACTGTCGAGGCGATACTGCCACTGATTGGGCTCCAACAAACAACGTCTCAACCAAACATTCAACCATTCGCGCACTTCCCTATCGCCCCACCGCCCTTCTTTTGTATCTCTGCTTTTGCACCTGCTTCAACGCACTACCTCCCGTCGTCGAAGACCTTCGCCTTGCATGGCTGCCGTGCCTTCGCCTTTTTCGCGGAGGCCCTCGCCAACGGTGTGTTAGCTCAGATCCACCAGGGTAGCGGCTCGAGGACAGCGAGACCGAATCGTTGGGGCGGCAGGCCCGAGAAAACCGGGACAAGCAATAATGCGGCTCCTGTCCTTCCCCAGCCAACCATAGAGACGCAACGCGCCCCTGTCCGCCGCCCTTCTGGACCTCCGACTGAGGAAGCGAAGATTCAAGAAGCCAAGCTCTCCTTAGCCGTCATGGCCTTGTAGCTGAAGCCGCCGCCTCCGCTGTTGGATGGAACCGCACCCTTTCCTCCGCCAAGGTCGCCCTGGTCCGGGATGTTCTGCGTGGGCATGGCCTGGGCTCGACGGGCGTAGAGCCAGACGCGAGCAAGACAAGGGCACGGTACACAAATATTCGAACCTATTAATTACAACGAAACGTGGATGGACCTGGGGGCAAAAATCTTTCGTCGCTGGTCGGAACCAAGGCTGGAAACCCGTCTATTCAACGTAAAGCGCTGCTTCCTGTCAAGGCGCTGACCGACATCACGGAGGTTCACCGGTCCACCAACCAACGCTAGAAACGCGGCTGCACAATTGCCGTTTGCAGCACATGCGCGTGCACCCATACCCGTTCATACAATTGCAAAGTAATCATTCTGGACACCTTCGATTAATTCGTTCGCCCTTATATCGGCTTGGACATTCCTCGGATCTATCACGCTAGATCTCAGGAGTCCTCCAAAACGCTGGGGGCACGTCCCCAATAGTCATCCAAAAAGCGGAATACCCACCCGGGAGTTTAAACAGTTTGGCCCGACGACGTGCGGCGTTGGACAGTGTGAGTGCGAGTGCAGCCCAGCGCGGACATGCCCCAATGCCTAGGCTTGCATCCACATCTACTAGTCTGCGCATCGCATGCACGCACACACATTGAGGTAATGCAAACACGTGCACACATGGGTGCTGTAAAGTAACTTTCTTCGCCAATCGCACGATGACTGGCCTTTACCGTTCTTCCCCTTCTTCTATCAATTTCCGCTTTCATTTCCGGGTGTCATGGGATTTGCCTGTCTCTTATTCTTGGGCATTAAAATTATGGCAGCGATTAACACTACAATGTGTGTAGCCTCGTTTGACGTTACACTTCCCAACCATTGGACAACAGAAGACGCTGATTCTTAATCTCACGCCACGAAATATATTTAAACTGGGGGGCGCAAGCGGACTCGACGACATTGATGGCACGGCTAGGTGCGCAATTCCGCCAAATAATTGTTTTTTTTTTTTTTTTTCTCTGGGTTCTAGGTTATCATGATATCTGAAGCAATTGTTTACTCCGACGGCCTAAAGCTGGCTACCACACGCCTAGACTACTGGCATCGGGTGCTCATGCGCAACTGCCGCGTCAGAGTTAGCCGTGCGCGACATCCTTGGCACATGGCGATGCGCGCGATGTCCACACCATGCAGCTTCTCAATTTGCGCAAGCGGCAAGTCATAGCATGTGTAGACAAGGCGCGTGGTAAGCGGAGTAGCTGGGTCGTCTGAAATTTAGGAACTTGCGCGTGACAGCCAGGCAGCAGCAGGCATACAGAGACATAAATGGATTGCCGAATGGACACCCGCACATCATATGCAAAGGTGCCCCCACTTGCGTGATACGCACGAACCGCTATTTTGCACGAGTGGCGGTGCCCTTTATAGTTGCACGCTTCAAGCTCGTTTGGGCGTACCGTGCGACTTGCATTCCAATGCCCCGTGCTGTGGGCCCCAAGTCACGCACGAGACAACCACGAGTGCGCCTCCCCTCCGACTGGCCCCTCCTGCCCCGCTCCCACCCCCTCCCCTCCGCCCTTGCCCTTCTCCTTCGCACATCTCGGAGCAAAGCGAGCTGAGACAGAAGCAGCTCAAGCTCGGCCCCGGGATCCCTCCCAAGGTCCACACGCACCAATCTTCCGAGCTGCGTCCGGCCGTGGCGGCGAGGGGACCCCACGAAGGCCAACCACCGCTGTCTCGGCTCGCCCTCCTCGGATTTCCTCCCGTCCCCCGCACGCGCGGCGCGGCGCGTCGCGCCTCTCCGTTCGCGTCTATCATCACGCCTGAGCCGTTCAGGCGGCCCTTGTGCCAGTGGCCTCTGTAGACCCTGCCGTCGGGCCACTTCACTGTGCCTGAGTGCCCAGCCGAAGAGAGGAGAGCAACAATATTACGTTCAGTGCGCACCCAAAACCAAAGACACTCAAACACTGCAGTGAGGTCCTAAACCCCTAGATAGAACAACTAACAATAAACACGGTCCATGCTTCTCGTTCCTCGAAGGCGCTTCCCGTCATCCGCCACCGTGCCCTTGGCACGTAGAGACGTGGTAGAATTCCAGGTGCTGCCTGGTAGGGTTTCTGAACGTCTTCTAAGGGATCCCCCTCCTCGCTGTACATTGTCGCATGCACCGCCCCCGCCATTCCCGAGGGCTCCTGGGCGCCCCGACCCCTGGCGTTCTTCTCCATTGTGCCCACGGGCCCAAGATGACTTTGAAGACGGCCCAGGCAGGTCACCAAGGCTGCCCAGATGGCCCAAGACCGCCTCAAGGCGCACCCGCTCAAGGCTGCCCCACAGGAGCCCGAGACAGCCCCAAGGCGGCACGAATACGCCCCACAAGAGCTCCTCACGAAGTGGAGACGGGAGGTGTCACATGTCGCGGCCTTGCGATCGATGCTCAACGGGTCGGCACATGGCGTGCTTCGCTGGCACGGTGGCGGACTTGCCGCAGGCACTCCAAGGGGGGCACCGCAGAACTGACCTGGCCTCGGGGGATCTGCGCCGCCGCACCTCGGAACCTGCGCCGCTGCACCCTGCGCTGCACGGCGGTTCGATCGACCCACGGCGGCCCACGAGGGGCGACGACTGGGGACTGGGCCTATGACGAGGGAGGGCGGCGAAGGGCCAAGGGCTCACGTCATCGAATCTTCTTTTGCAGCCCACCTCTCTCATGCGGGCCACTATGGGACCACGGGATGCGCACCATTGGACTGGTCGTTGCAAGCAATCGCAAAGACTAACGCGACGACCCACGCACCACATAATCCAGTTTTGCACGCCACCCCTTGACACGAGAGCCACGAACGGCGACGGGCCACGCACCACCGAATCCACTCTTCCAAGACGGCCTTGCAATCTACCGAGCGTGTGAAGGCTGCGAGGAGCTGCAGGCCGCGCATCACCGAATTCACTTTCGCACGCTACTCCAAGCATAGGGGCAACCCAGGGTCACAGGCCTTGCAACCACCGACTTCACTTGTGAACGCCTCCCCGCATAAAAGGGCCGCGAAGGGCCACGGGCCAAGGCTCACCAGGTGCGCCTTTGCAACCCAACAAAGACACGAGCAGTGACCGACCGTGTGCCACGACGGGCTAAATAACACCGCCGACTTTGTCCCTCTGAAGCTGTCTCACGCAAGAGCCGTGCGGGAACACAAGCTATGGCACACCAGACTCATCCTCGGAGCCCTTCTGAATGGATCCGATTCCAATTTCGCATCGGGGCAGGTCACGGCACACCGCAGGATCGAACGTCCACCTCCACGCCCTCCTTCTTTAGCCATGCGCGAACCTGCAGACCTGCCGGCGACCTATCTGTTTGGGAAATGATGAGCAAGCGTGCAGGTCTGGCTGTTTAGGAATTACCACGAGCCGCAAAACCAGCGGTGTTGCAGGCCCGGGGTCAACACATGACAGTGCCATCAGATGCTCCGAACTCTTTGACTCTTACACAGCTTGGCTGCCATAGCCAACGTGGCACTCTGTCTACTGATGGTGAGGGAAGCGAATTGTGGCTGGCATTCTGGTCGACCATGTGTCGCCAATCGCAAACACTAATCATTCATGCTGGTGCTGCTTGCCTGTGAAAGTCCAACTGGCGGCTTCGAATCCAACCATCAAGCACAACTGATCCAGCTGAGCATCATGCAACTACGCAAGCCGAGTACCGCGGACTCGTCGCGGTTATGGCCCCCGCTGATGCGATCATCAGCGCTCGCATGGTCGACGGACAATCCGTAGCCCTGGGAGGCGACTGCAAACGTGTCCGCTTAAAAGCAAGCCAACTCATTCACAAAAAAGCTGTGGCGAAGGTGAGCAAAGCGCCTCTCCCGTGCCTCACGTCGTTCTCGAACCTGCCTTCGTAGGTGACGCCGTCGGCCCACACCTGCGCCAAAGGTGATAGTTTGTTTACATAAATTATGTTTGACTGCCTGGAACTGTTAAGCGATGACCGTCTGCTCTACTGAGCCCCCAGCGTCCCCATAAGAATTCCCGAGGGCTCGCCCTTCTGTTGTCTGTGAACGGTGCCTTGTGCAGAGCAGGCAATTTTCATCACCATTCAAAGCAACATGCATGACACTGTGACAGAATCCATACAGACCTCTGCTTCTGCTACATCTGAAGCACGGGCTCTAAACTTCGCGCTTCGCGCTTCGCGCTCCGCGAAGCGCGAGTAACTTCGCGCTGTCGCGCCGCCCCCCCAAAGGGAGAAAAGGAAGACGAGGAGGAGGGGGAGAAGGAACGAGGACCGCGAAGCGCGAACCGCGAATGACTTCCCGCCCTCGTGGGATCCCTTGACAATACGAGTGAACGTGCTGGCCAAATCTGAATCATGAGCGGGCGCCTCGCGATCGCGTTGCATATTGCTAGTGCTCTGTGCACAGCCCCGACGCTCCATTGCCAGGGTGCGTCGCGTGCCCCAGGGGGCCGGTCACGTCACTTATGGCGCTTCCCGCTCGCCTCTGCCCAGGGCCAGCCCAAAGACGGGCCAAGAGGGCCCCCCAATGGCCCCAGGACGATCCTGTAGGGCCCCCTTCCTTAGAGAGTTCGAATGAGTTTCGCATTCTCGCCTTTTCAGGGTGCCCCAAGATCGCCCCAAGACTGCCCAAGAGGCCCTCAAGAGCGCCCCCAGACGGCCGAAGATGTTCCCAAGACGGGCCAAGAGGGCCCCAAGAAGTGCCCGCGAGGGCCCAAGAAGCATCGAAAACAGCCCGACAGCAGTCCCAGACGCCCAAGATGCCACCAAGACGGCCCATGAGGCCCCCAAAACGCCCCAAGAGGGCTGGCCCCGAGATGCCCAAATCATAGTCTTCCCAAGATGGCCCCCGAGAGCCAGCAGGCCCCCAAGATGCCCCCCTTAAGCTCCGAGCTCCAGGAGGCCCCCAAGATGCCCAAATCAGGCCCAATAGGCCCCCAAGAGCCCTCCGAGAGGCCCCGTAAGACACTCCAAAACCGAATCTGAGAGGCTTCCGACAGGCATCCCTGGAGATCCCCAAAGGCATCCCAGAGGCCTCTGACCTGCAAGACAAGCACGGTGGTGGGATGGGCCGAAGGCCACCAAACCTGCTTGTCATGGGGAGGGAATCAGTGTTTATTTTGTGAGGGCGCGAGGTTGCTGGTTTGTGCCTTTGTGCCTTGGAGCCCTGTTGGTGTTAAGGCTTCGGTGCGACATACAACAAACATCTAGCAACCGACCTTACGAATCTATATATATATATATATATATATATATATATATATATATATATATATATATATATACATATATATATATATATATATATATATTGCATTTCCGGGCCTTCCCGGGGGTCCTTTTGGGGTTCTTTTCGGCCGTCTTAAAACCCTTTTGGGCCGTCCCGGGACCCTCTTGGGCCGTCTTGGCGGGCCTGGGCCGTCTTGAGGCCCTCTGGGGGCCCTCCTTGAGGCCCTCAAGGTCCCCTTGAGGATGGGAACCGTTTGGGACCCTCAGGGGCCTCTCTTGGGCCTTGCGGCTCTCCTGGGGCTGACTTGGGCCGTCTTGGGCCGAATATTGCCGAAATTGGGGCCAATAGATATGATGGTCGGGCTGTCTACCCGCCCACCCCCCCCGTTGTTATTTCTCCCGGCTAACGGATCGCGACGCTACTCGCGATTTCCGTCATCTGGGGTTCGGACTGCCTGCACCCCCATACCCCTCCTGGTTATTTCTCCCGGCTAACGAATCGCGACGCTACGCGTGCTTTCCGTCATCCGCCGCCCCCCGTGGCTTGCCACAGGGGTGCACACCGTGACACATGATACGTAGTTTCTGGCTCCGTCCAAAGGTTCCCAAGGTCCTTCGGCAAAACCCGCCGACCATCCGGAAGGTCGCATAACATATGTCTCACATCAGCTTTCTGCCTCATAGGACCCGCAGAATTCACAGTTCGTCGGACTCCCCGCTGCATACAGCCACAAGACGGCCTCTAAGACGGCCACGATGGTCTCCAAGACGACTACGATGGCCACACGAGAACCCAAGATGACCCCAAGACGTGTCCAAGAAGGGCTGAGATGCCGCCAGAATAACCCAAGATGGCCCCAAGGTCGCTTAAGACGGCCCAAGAAGGCTCCACGACAGCCCAAGAGGCCTCCAAGAAGACCTTCAGGAAGGCCCACAGAGGTCGATATCATTGATTCCTCAGGTGTTTGAAGGATTATGGTGATTTCTCATTTTCGGCTTTCAGACGGCCCGAGACGGCCCCAGATGCCACCAAGATGACCCTCAGAGCTCCCAAGAGGCCTCAGAGATGGCCCCCCTGACTGCCCAGGACACCTCCAAGACGCGCAAGATGACCTCCAAGACTGCCCTGAGGCGCCCCACGAGGGACCCCACCTTGTCCCAGAGAGGCCCCCAGGCCAGTTTCCGACGGCGCCAGACGGGCCAGGGACGCCCTCAGACGGGGCCAAAGAGCTTCTCAAGGAGCCTCCAAGGGCCCCAGCGATGCCCAAGTAAGCCCCCAAGAAGCCTCCCAGCGGCCACCAGGAAACTCCCACGGGGCCTCAAGAGTGCCCCAAGAAACTCCCAAGAGGCATACGAACACCGAAAGATGTTCGATAATATACGCCAGGAATGATAACTATCAGGGACCACGTACATCCTCATCCCCAACTGCACAATCGTTATCATCATCGTCACCGTCATCGTCGTCGTTTGGGCTCGAACATTTATCCGTGCCCAAATTCCCAGAGGCTGTCGGGCGCGGATGCTTGCTGCTTGAGCGTGCTGAGCGTCCGAGTCAATACGAACGTCCGGGTGTGAAAATAGTGTACGGCCAGTGCATGCGCGTGCACGTCCCGGCTTCGCTCATCCCCCGCGGCCAAGGCATCATCATCAACTTCCTGCAGGCGGTGGACGCCAAAGTGGTCGTTCTCTACAATGACTTCGCCTCAACTGTCAGCAGCGACGGAGCTCCAAACGACCTGCTGCAGGGAGGAGTTCAGGATGCTTGCCAGTGTACCCTTAGTACGAGTTGTGGAAGACATGGCTCAGCTTCTGTTGCTCCCATCGTACTTAAGGACCACATCCCAGAAATAAATTCGAGAACCCGGAAAAGTGTCGAAAGAGCGTTGAAACAGTGTCGAAACAGTGTCGGACGAGTGTCTCCCAGGGCCCGACACGTGAGCATCCTCGAGTTTCGGTACTTTCCTGGTGCTCGCAAATCCTTGGTGATCAAGGCTAAAGTAGGTTGGAACATCATACGGCTCAGCTTCTCGGAGACAGCGCCTCCGTGGAGGCTGAGTGGCTCTCCGATGCCAGTGGCTGCGCAGGAGACGCCGCAGGACAAGGTCGGCTTCCTGGAGACGGTGCCCCCCTGGAGGCTGGTGGACCCTCCAGAACCGGCTGCGGCGCAGGCAGGAGAAGCCGGCGAGCCAGACCACGAACAAGTTCAAGGCCTAGTTCGAGCACATCCAAAGCATGCGCGTGCAGGAATATAAGAAGAAGAAACAACACATAAACATAACCTTTTGGCGCTCCGCGCGGATTCCTTGGATCCGCAAGGAGCGCCAAACATTTAACCTTATGTGTTGTTTCTTCTTCTTCGAAGGAGGGCAAGAGGGAGAGGGTGAAGGTAAAGCAGTGCCATGCGAAGTGCAAGGCGGTCTCTTCCCCGGCTTCCAGGAGGAGGCTCGGTCTATGGGTCCGCTCCTCGCACGTGGCGGATGTGGCCGGCAACATCGTCTTGAAGAACCCCTGGATCCGCGTCGATTCTTCATGGAGAAAGCGCGCCCAACGAGTTCGACGAGGAAGAAGACGAAAGCGCAGCATCTCCGCCACGCTACGGCCTGAACGGAACGCTCATTCTCGCGTTCCCTGTCTCAAGGGACAGTGAGAGGGCTCCTGAGGCCTGCAGCTTGGCAGAGGCGGCGGATGCGAACTCCATGCCCTCCCAGTGCATAGTCACCAACGCGGAAGTGGAGCCCGTGCCGTCTGGCGCGACATGGTTCACCCAGGACTTCTTTGATGAAGGGGGGAGACGAGGAAGACGGTCGATGAGGAGGAGGAGGCGGCGATGCAGGGCAGCGGGGGACATGTCCGAATTAATCGCCGTCGCCATGGAGAGGATCGAGAAAGTAAGTGAGATTATCGCAGCCCACGCCGCGCCCGCCTGTCGTAACGGCGCTCGGCCCAGAGACGCGGCCTGCGGCGAGGAGTTCGGCGTCGCGGCGATGAAGGCGAAGGCGGTGAACGAGGAGACGAAGGAGGCCGTTGGAGTGCAAGGCGATGGAGAGCCTCCCTCCGAGGCTCGGGACCACGAACGAACGAACCACCACATCGGACGTCTGTCCGGGCCTGCAAAGACCAGGTGGGTGAGGCCATGGCCTCCTGTAGACATGCAGACATGCATAGGAACTGCGAGACATACAAAAAGCTGCGAATCTGCGCAACGCGCAAAAAGTTATGACAGAGGAGGAGGGGAGGAGGAAGTCCTGATTGTGACTGTCGGCGATGTGCTGATGTATTTGTGCTCGAGTGTCGACCACGTGAGGTGCCTTGAGCTGAGCGAGCCCAGGTAAGGTCGTTTGGTTTGCCCTGCTCATTGGTTGGCGTGGGCGCAGGTTGCAGGTCGGGTCGTTGTTCTCGGAGGAGCATGTCGGGTCGTTGTTCTCGGAGGAAGCTGATGGGGTCGTCGTCCCAGCGCTTGCGCAGGCCACCGTGGCGTCTCCGGCCACGTTGGCGTGAGTTCTCTCCTGGTTGCCAGTGGAGTGCTCGCCACGCGCATCTGGTGGGCTCGTGGTTGGCTACCTTGGATGCCATGCGCCACAACTTCTGCCTGCGAATCATCTCCCAACTTTCAATCTGGTGGTGCTGCATGAGCTGCTCTGCGCGCCGCGTGGCTCGCTGGATGCAAGTCGACCCACGCCTTCATCGCGTCCTCGTCATTGTTGCTGTCGTTGCTCTCGCTGTGTCGGTCTGTCGTGTCTCGTTGGGGCGTGTTGCTCTCAGCGTCGTCGCTGCTGCTGGTTTCTTGATGAGGTGCTTGGGTGGTCGTGCGGTCGTCCGCGTGGCCCTGGGCGCTGCTCGTCGGGGTCGTTTGGCGGGTAGCGCGTCGCCTTGGTGTCCTGATGATCATGCGGAAAATGCGTCGTTGTGTTCGCTTCAGGTGTTGCCGGAGAGGCTCCGTGAGCGTCCACGTCTCTGCTCCGTGGAGTGCTGCGGGTGTTACTGTACGATTGAAAAGCCAGAGTCGGTGTGCCAGCGGGTAGTGCTTGCTTGTCAGCTCCTGATTGCGCGAAGTGAGCGTTGCCCATGCTGCTCTCGTTTGGTGGTGGATTTCAGTTTCCATCGCGTCGTGGAAGCTGATGAGTTGACCCAAGTATTTGGTGCTGCCTTCGTGGGGAAGGATGTCGATGTCCATGTCCTGAATGTGCGCAGTGCGCGAGCTTGCCCTGCCATGCCAGCCCGTCTGGTCTGGTTGCTGAGCATTTTGGTTTTGGAAGGTGCAGCTGAAGTCCGTGAGGTCGCACTGTGCGCACGATGTCGTCGAGCATCGCGGTGAAGCGCGGCAGTGTTTGGCTGGCCAGGAGCACGTCGTCGGCGAAGCTGAGGTTTGTGAGTGCGGAGGTGGTGGTGAATCCTAGCTGGACTCCCTTGCCCGTCTTAAGCCAGTCCGTGATTAGTGGTGCAAGAATGTGCTGTAGCAAAGCGTTGAAAAGTAAGGAATTGAGCGGATCGCCCTGCTTCGTTCCCCGGAAGAGACTGAAGGACCTGCTGCCGACGTCAGTCTTGACCGTGGCCGTCTGTCCCTCAGGAGGCGACGGACCAGGTTCTGCAGGAGGCGACGGAGCTGCAGGACGGAGGGCAAGCCGGAGGAGCCGAAGGGCCAGGAGCCGAAGCTGGCGGAGCAGACCTGCGGCGTCGCGGTGCCTGCCTTCGATGCCTGGCGCGAGCTCGAGCAGCGGGCCCAGGGCACCTCCTACCACGAGCAGCTCGTGCACCGCGGCACCGCCGTGCTGCCATGGCGGCGGAGGTTGGGCGCCAGATCCCGAAGCACGAGCCCGAGTCAGCCCGGACCCGAGTTGCCCCTGATGACTCGGGGCTCTGAGGAGGGGCCGCCAGCCGGGCGCGCGGCAGCTCTGCGGCGCGCCGTGGCCCTCACCGGCCATGGCTCTGGCGACGGGAGCCCGCTCGGCCTCGAGAGCAGCTGGGCCGACCTCGGGTCGGCGTGAGGGCCGCGGCCAGCTTGTGCGCGCGTGCGCGCGGTGTGTCGCAGACGTGTGCCGTGCCCATCTCGTGGCTGTACTGATCTTCGTGGCCGTGGCGGCCACCGCGGGAGACGGAAGAGGGGACCCAGAGCAGGGGCTCCCTCTGCTTTGGGGCCCACGGCCCGGCGACGGGACAGCGAGCACGAGAAGGAGGCTTCGGTGCCTCCCATTTTCGGTACAGGGGTTGCCTGAGGAGTCAGGGGCTGGGAGGCCTCAGAGAGCATGAGATGATCAAAAATCCGCACCGTCATCATGAACATTATTATCGCCATCGTCATCGTCATCGTCGCTGTCGCCGCGTAGCATGTTGCTGCGAACATTGGTTGTCGGGTGGGTGGGTGGGATGTCGCCGCGAGGATTCGAGGTGGTCACGAGCGGACGCGGTCAAACTCAATTGCACCCCGCAACTTGCACATCGAGAGTGCAAGATCTCACAACTTGGGGTCCACGCTGGCAAACATACACAATACTTTTTCAAAAACAACTCCCGATGCTCGATCCGGGTTCCCAAAATTCGCAGGCGTTGACGGGCGCTCCCAGACCGTGCCGCGTGGATTCTGCTGGAGGACATGGGAGTGTGGTTGGAGGCCTGGTCCTCCAGCGTGCTCTGAGACGGTCGCAGGCGTCCGCACTGGAATCCTCTTGGAAGCATCTCGAGCTGTCTTGGAGACAGCGGGGCCAGCCCAAGGGGGCCAAACATGATTCAGCAACCGTCTCTTATTGTATGATCTAGGATTTGTCCTTTCTGCGCTTCTCGGTCATCAGGACGTTCAGGACGGCCCGAGCCGTCCCAAAGATCGCCCCACGACGGCCGCCAAGCCCCCAAGACTGGCCAGCGAGGTACTCAATGCTGCCCCAAGAGAGGACCTCGAAGGGAAACTCAGACTGACATGTCGAGCCCTTCGCCCCAACATGCACGGCATGAGCTGGTTTCGCTGGTTTCGCCGGCGCTGGTTTCGCTGGCGCTGGTTTCGCCGGCGCTGGTTTCGCCGACGCAGTCGTCGCCGCGGGCGAGCGGACCCTAGCGGGCGGGTCGGGTCGGGTCGGGCGGGCGGCCCCTGACGGGCGGGTCGGGTCGGTCGGGCGGGATATTCAAGTGTAGGGCACGCTCGACCGAGCACGATCGAACCCTGACGGGCGGGTCGGGTCGGGCGGGCGGATCCTAGCGGGCGGGTCGGGCCGGGCGGGCGGACCCTGACGGGCGGGTCAGGTCGGGCGGGCGGGCGCGACAAAAGTGTGGGGCGCCCTCGACCGAGCACGCGCGAACCCAAACGGGCGGGTCGGGTCGGGCGGGCGGACCCTAGCGGGCGGGTCGGATCGGGTCGGGCGGGCAGACCAAAACTGGCGGGTTGGGTCGGGCGGGCGGGACATTAAAGTGCGGGGCACGCCCGACCGAACACGCGCGAACCCTGACGGGCGGGTCGGGTCGGGCGGGCGGACCCTAGCGGGCGGGACGGGTCGGGTCGCGCGGGCGGACCCTAACGGGCGGGTCGGGTCGGGGCGGAGCCTGGCGGGCGGTCGGGTCGGATCGGGCTGGCGGACCCTGACGGGCGGGTCGGGTCGGGTGGGCGGGACATTCAAGCGTGGGGTACGCTCGACCGAGCACGCGCGAACCTTGACGGGCGGGTCGGGTCGGGCGGGTGGACCCAAACGGGCGGGTCGGGTCGGACGGGCAGAACATGAAAGTGTGGGGCACGCTCGACCGAGCACACGCGAATTCCAACAGGGCGGGTCGGTTCGGGCAGGCGCACCCTAGCGGGCGGGTCGGGTCGGGCAGCTTCGCCGACGGCAGCTAGTTTCGCCAACGGCAGCTGGTTTCGCCGACAGCAGCTGGGTTCGTCGGCGGAACTGGTTTCGCCGACGGAGCTGGTTTCGCCGGGCGGCGAAACCAGCCAGGCGAATCCAGCCGTCGGCGAAACCAGCGGTCGCCACATGGACCCCAAGACCGCCACCAGGCCTGCGAGAAGCGCACATGACGACCCCAGATGAGCCCCAAGAGGCCCCCAGGAGGTCCCCACGAGAGCTCCAAGAGGCCCTCAAGAGGTCTCCGAACCCAGGAGGCCTCTTTCCCACGATTCAAACACGGTGACGGGATGGACAGAAGGCCACTCGACATATGTCTTGCTGACAGTGCAAATGCAGATGTCCAAGCATCGAAAGAGACAAACATCGCATCAAACAAGAACGGCACGACAAGACCAGCACACGTGCCATAACAACCGATCGCACTGGATTCGACCGCACGCGACCAGACGAGATCAGGCCACGCCACGTAAGACCAGTGCACAGTAGACCACGTAAACGTTGATAAAAGCACTGATCACATGATATATGACCATACAATCAAACGCCAAGTGATTGACAACAACAACACATCAAAAAGAGAACGCACCATCTTGCCAGTGCCGTTCATCTGTCCGCGCTTCCACTGACCAGTGTACTTGTGCCCTGACACGAACTCCCAATGTCCATGGCCATCCATCTTGTCTTTCTTGAACTGGCCTGAAGGGGGGCGGCTGACGAGCAAAAATATGCGTGATGGCAAGCGCAGCGTGCTCTTTGGATGGGGGCCGCTCGATAAGAGGAAGAAAAAACGGCATACACACACTTTCGAGCGTCCAGCGCAGATCTAAGAAATCTGCGTGAACTGTCAACAGTTTATGGTTTTGTAGTTTTGTCTGCGTCGATCGATGTTTTAGGAGTCGAGCATCTGGCAGCAGCCATCGCGCAAGTGTCAGACATAAGCCGAGTCGCAGTATTGAGATCTGCAGCGCTCGGGGGGTCACCGATGGCTGTAGCATTGGGTCCCTCTGAGAACATCAAACTTACCGGAGAGGCACCCAACGCTTTCTCCACGCGAGGCGACTATTGATATGGACGCCCCGTACAAAATATCATCTCGCGAGATCTGCGCGATCTGTGCTGTCCTGCACTCCGCCGTGACTCCCAGGAGCCCACGGAAGTGGCGGCAGCCGCGAGGCCCGCAGCCACGAACGGAGCCGCGAGGTCTCAAATGATCTGCGCTGCACTGCACTCCGCTCGCAGCCCCCGAGGGAGCCGCGAGGTCTCAAATGCTTTGCGCTGCCCTGCACTCCGCTGGATCTCCCCGGACACCAAACAAAAATAGCGACGGTTGCACAGTTCGCTACCCCAGAGGGAGCCGCGATTTCTCGAGGGATCCTCGTGGCCCCCACCTCCGCCGTGCCCCCCAGAAGCCCACGAACGTGGCGACGGTTGCGCAGTTCGCAGCCCCCGACGGGGCCACGAGGTCTCAAAGGGATCCCCGTGGCCCTCACCTCCGCCCTGTCTCCCAGAAACCCACGAACGTGGCGACGGTTGCGCAGTTCGCAGCCCCCGACGGGGCCACGAGGTCTCAAAGAAATCCCCGTGGCCCTGACCTCCGCCGAGCCTCCTAGAAGCCCACGGAAGTGGCGACGGTTGCGCGGTTCGCAGACCCCGAGAGAGCCGCGAGGTCTGAAAGGGATCCCCGTGGCCCTCACCTCCGCCCTGCCTCCCAGGAGCCCACGGAAGTGGTGACGGTTGCGCGGTTCGCAGCCCCCGGCGCAGCGCACAGGATACAGCAGGAGTCCAGGAGGTAGGCGGAGGAGGCGATGACGGATGAGGGCGAGGAGGACGGACGAGGCGGGAGGAAGAACACACGCGAGCAGTGCTCCATTTAATACGAGAGCCCAACCAATGGAGGGTTGGCAACGAGAAAGTGGGCGGGAGGTTGCGCGAGCAGAGCTGTGCTCAAAACAAGAAGCCAACCAAGGGAGGGTTGGGGACACTCCAGCGCTGCAGCCCAGCAAGAAACCCAACGAGCATTATGGAGCGTGGGACATGGCATGTTCAATGCAGAGCGGGACTCCACAGAAGTCCATGCAAGCCCGCCTATTCGCCCCAGAAGTCCCGACCCCTTTCCCGGGGCTGGCTTTTCATTGTTTGAGGGCCTCGGGGCCTGGCGAGGGCCCCCAGAGGCCGAAAACTGCTCAAACCCTGACGTGGTGATTTCAGCCGCCCTGTTCGGACACAATCCTTTGGTCGCACCGATCAAGTTGAAGTTTTGAGGATCAGATCTGCCACACCCCGAGTCGGCCCGAGAGGGCTCCAAGATATCCCAAATGGCCTTAAGATGGCCGAAGGGCCTCCAAGATGCACCGAGACAGCCCCGCGAGACCCCCAGGGAGGGCTCCAAGAGACCCAACATCGCTGATTTCCCAGTTGTTTGACGGATCTTAGCGTTCTAGCGTTTTCGGGCTCCCCATGCTCCCCCAAGTCGGCCCAAGAGGCCCCGAAGGACACCCCAAGACGGCACAAGATGCCCCCAAGAAGGCCCTCCGACGGCCCAAGAGGGCCCCAAGACGGCCAAAGAGGCACCCAAGACGGTCCAAGAAGGCCCCGCGACGCGACCTTCCTTCGCCGCCCCTCATAACTCTTGGGAGGGGTCGCCCCGCGGTGCATTCTGCTGATGAGGAGGGTGCTGCTGTCAGAAGGAGGAAGCTGCTGACTCACAGATGATGTCCAGAGGGTAACCATGATTATGATCAATACATTCGAGTTCGAAGGTTCAGTGCCATTGCTGGAACTATGAAGGGAATCCTAAACCCTGCGTCCGCACGGTGCAAGGTCTTGAGTAGGCAACCGCATGTGAATCCTACCCCTGCAGATCAGACTCCTGGAACACCCGCTGGGGTGCAGAATTTGAAAGGTGTCTGCGGCTAAATGAACCCCAGCGGGGGGGTGTCCGACACCCCAGCGTTGACCAGACCCGCAGGGACAGGGATCCCAAGACGTTGCAGATAAGAGCATCCCGAGCCTGGGGCCAGCACAAACCAGTTCTGGCCCCACCGCCTCGAGCATTGGTCAACGGAGCGGGTTCGTCAGACTCTCAACACGAGACCGCTTGCCAGCCCTTGCTGCGCATGTCTACGAGGGATCCGGCCTGGGGCAGGGCTCAAGAGCACACGCGATACGCCCGATCATGGTTCGATGAAAACCTGGGACTTTGAATTGGTGTCGCAGTGCACGTAGAAGAGAAGTGGATATTGCCAACCTATCATGCTTATGATTGACCTGTCGTGCCGCAGCGCGACATGGGTGGATTGTAGCTGAGCTCGGACAGAAAATGTCCCCCCTATCGGCACGTTACACATTACTGTCCATTCAACTGCTTCTCCAAGAAGCACATGCTCACATACCGCGATTGCGATGATCGCATCGTGGCTCGCACGGCCAACACAAGCCTGCATACCAAAACACGTGATCGACTTACTGTCAATCTGGACCGGCTCATCAGAGTTCCTGCCCACTGGGAGCTGACAGACAGCAGTTTTAGTTACTGTGGCAACGAGACGCCCCCCACGCCCCCTAAAAAGTCTGATCTGTCTAGGCGTTTCCCACAACACCCTCCCAATAGAACGCCCCCTGCCTCCTAAGGGGCGGATGCTGAGGACGTTTGTGGGGATTCGTGGGCAGGCTTGGGTGCCTCGTGACGGCCTCGCGGGGGCTCCGAAAAAGACAACACATGCTCAGGTGATGGGACATATGTCTGGGGTTCTGGAGCTTGTCTGCCACGAGAGCCTGTTCAACAAGTACAGAGCTGTTTCGAGCAAAACACGCGAGTGCAGAGAGCTCCTCATCTCAATGTGAAATTGACCTTGGACTTCTGATAACAACGCCAGCTGGCCTTGTTCTAGAGATGAAGTTTTTATCAAAAAACGATAGCGCGAGTTATGTTGGTGGGTGGGTGGGTGGGTGGGTTCGCGCCAGCCAAATAACACGCGTTATGTTTGCGACGTTGGGTTTTTCCCGACCTAGGCTCTGCCTAGAAGGGTTCTTACTCTCTAGCTTAAAGGGGCCGGGCAGTGGAAAGCGCCCCGGGCGGTTCCCCCAGTCCCCGCCCCGCGGTTCCCCCAGTCCCCTGGGAGCTTTAGCTTTAGCTTTAGCTTTTAGCTTTAGCTTTAGCTTTAGCTTAGCTTTAGCTTAGCTTTAGCCTAGCTTTAGCTTAGCTTTAGCTTAACTTTAGCTTAGCCTTAGCTTAGCTTTAGTTTAGCTTTAGCTTAGCTTAACTTTAGCTTAGCTTTATCTTAGCTTCAGCTTAGCGTTAGCTTAGCTTTAGCTTAGCTTTGGCTAGCTTTAGCTTAGCTTTAGTATAGCGTTGGCTTAGCTTTAGCTTAGCTTCAGCTTAGCGTTAGCTTATCGTTAGCTTAGCTTTAGCTTAGCTTAAGCTTATATTTAGCTTAGCTGTAGCTTATACTTAGCTTAGCTTTAGCTTAGCGTTAGCTTAGCGTTAGCTTAGCGTTAGCTTAGCTTTAGCTTAGCTTTAGCTTAGCTTGAGCTTAGCTGTAGCTTAGCTGCAGCTTAGCTTTACTGATACTACTAATGCTGCTTTCCTAGGGGCTCCAACTCTTAGGTAGGGTCGCACTGGGATAATTTAAAGAGCACGGGAAGACATCGAATTCTGGCAGAAGTTCGACCGAGCGCGAATCACTGGGCCCAGTGTGACCTCGGACCTTCAGGATGGCTTCGCCAAGTGCTTCGCCAGCACCCATTTGCAAGCGGTGGGGGTTCATCTCACTGTTGGAAGAACTGCGTTAGGGTGGGCCTGCTGTCTGAAGGAAGACATTGTTGACCCTGAAACGGCACTTCATCCATCCGCGCTCTGTGACCTATGCCTGTACGAATATCTGGCTTAGCGGGAGAATCCTTCCTCTATCCGCGCCAGAGTAGTCAGTCTGACGCAGATGGGTCCGCGTGGAGAGGTCCAGTAGTGATTGCAATAGTTGGCGAATTAATGTAATCGGCTTTTCTCACACGCAGTAGTGGTCGCCCATGCCATAGTCGGCGACCCCTGGGATTAGTTGCGTACTGTTGAACGTAAAATTTATGCTAACGGAGTTCCCCACATAAAGAGATTAACGGTTTCGTGGGGCCCATTTTCTTGATGCCCTCCTCGCGACGCTGGAGGGGTGGGAGGGGCACGAAACCATGTAAATAGTATGGTATTCCGATACCCTCCTCGCTCAGGCGGGGCCTCCCTGGAGGGGTGGGAGGGGCACGAAACCATGTAAATAGTATGGTATTCCGATACCCTCCTCGCTCAGGCGGGGCCTCCCTGGAGGGGTGGGAGGGGCACGAAACCATGTAAATAGTATGGTATTCCGATACCCTCCTCGCTCAGGCGGGGCCTCCCTGGAGGGGTGGGAGGGGCACGAAACCATGTAAATAGTATGGTATTCCGATACCCTCCTCGCTCAGGCGGGGCCTCCCTGGAGGGGTGGGAGGGGCACGAAACCATGTAAATAGTATGGTATTCCGATACCCTCCTCGCTCAGGCGGGGCCTCCCTGGAGGGGTGGGAGGGGCACGAAACCATGTAAATAGTATGGTATTCCGATACCCTCCTCGCTCAGGCGGGGCCTCCCTGGAGGGGTGGGAGGGGCACGAAACCATGTAAATAGTATGGTATTCCGATACCCTCCTCGCTCAGGCGGGGCCTCCCTGGAGGGGTGGGAGGGGCACGAAACCATGTAAATAGTATGGTATTCCGATACCCTCCTCGCTCAGGCGGGGCCTCCCTGGAGGGGTGGGAGGGGCACGAAACCATGTAAATAGTATGGTATTCCGATACCCTCCTCGCTCAGGCGGGGCCTCCCTGGAGGGGTGGGAGGGGCACGAAACCATGTAAATAGTATGGTATTCCGATACCCTCCTCGCTCAGGCGGGGCCTCCCTGGAGGGGTGGGAGGGGCACGAAACCATGTAAATAGTATGGTATTCCGATACCCTCCTCGCTCAGGCGGGGCCTCCCTGGAGGGGTGGGAGGGGCACGAAACCATGTAAATAGTATGGTATTCCGATACCCTCCTCGCTCAGGCGGGGCCTCCCTGGAGGGGTGGGAGGGGCACGAAACCATGTAAATAGTATGGTATTCCGATACCCTCCTCGCTCAGGCGGGGCCTCCCTGGAGGGGTGGGAGGGGCACGAAACCATGTAAATAGTATGGTATTCCGATACCCTCCTCGCTCAGGCGGGGCCTCCCTGGAGGGGTGGGAGGGGCACGAAACCATGTAAATAGTATGGTATTCCGATACCCTCCTCGCTCAGGCGGGGCCTCCCTGGAGGGGTGGGAGGGGCACGAAACCATGTAAATAGTATGGTATTCCGATACCCTCCTCGCTCAGGCGGGGCCTCCATGGAGGGGTGGGAGGGGCACGCCATGGTATGGTATGGTACGGTATGGTACGTATGGTGTGGTATGGTATGGTATGGTATGGTATGGTCTGTGTGGTATGGTATGGTATGGTATGTGTGGTAGGAACTATGGTATGTGTGGTAGGAACTATGGTATGGTATGGTGTGTGTGTGTGTGGTAGGAATAATATTGTGCTGTATGGAAGATGGAGCGGGAGGTGGGTGGGAAGGAGAGGGTGTTCTGGGAAAACAAGAACCCCACTCAGGATGTGGGGAATAATACACTGTTGATGGACGATTGCGCCTCTCGCCGCCAACCCATCAGTGCCAGATCCACTGCACCAGCTTGACGGAATCATCCTTCCCATAGCCAGCGGGAACATAGGGGTGGTGGGCCTTTCACTCCTGTCCTCCCCTGTCCCCGCTCCCACGCACGCTGTGCTCCGCCAAACGTCCAACACAAACATCCTTCCCACACCTATATTTGGGGCACGGGTGGCGGGCGCCCGACCTTCGTAGTGCGCACCCTGGCCGGTCGTGTACTTGCCGACCCCGTGCCTCGGCAGCGGGCTGGGCGCTGCGGGAAGTGCAGCGTGGACGTGTTGGACCAAGGGAAGGGAACAAGGTGTAAGGGCTGGCGGATGAAGTTTCGAAAGGAGCCCATGAAAGCTGCTGGTCGTCCCCACGGCACCCAATAGCACGGCCAATTGTGCGCAAAGCGGACATAGTGCACTTCCCTCACATGGCGCAACTTGGCGCTATTGGTCGCAGGAAAGCGCTATTTGAGCGCTATTCGCCGATACACAGTCAATCCAAGACGAGCGGACACTGAATTTACCATTCAAGGACTTACCCGTGTAAGGACGCACGATCAGGATGCAAAAGCCTTGGAAGGCCATGCCGACTTTTGCGAGCGGGGCGCGGCCAGCGAAAGCGGCCAAGGATGGGCCGAATGGGTAAGGATGCAAGGGTAACCTTGGAAAGCCGCTCATCCTTACTATGCGGGTTGACTGTGACGTCTGATGACTGAGGTGAGGGGCAGGCGAAAGAGGCAAGGAGGCAACACAGACCACCAAAGCTCCACTCGCCGCCTGCGCAGCCCCTAGCCTCCGTCGCCAGAGTGGCACGGGCTGGGCGCCACGCTTGCAGCCCTGGAGGAAGTCGCCTTCGTAGCGCGCCCCGTCGGGGTACGTTTCTATGCCCTTGCCAGACTTTTCGTGCGTCACCTCGGGAACGCCGCTGCTGCGGTGGAGCACCCGCTTGCCACTGTGCCCCCTGCTTCCGGCCATGCCGCTGTCTCTTCATCTATCGCAGCACCCTCTTTCCCATGGCCCTCGCTCGCTGCTCCAACCCCTTCCCGTCTGCTCCTCGCCCTGGCTTGGCCAAGTCTTGGCGGGAGGGCCACGCCCTTAGGATACTAATTGCTGAGTCGTGGAGCAAGTCCACACAAAGTACAAAGCAGCCAGCAATGCACCGACGTGAAAGTTCTCCGTGACAACAAGAAGCCCCTAGGATAGGCTGTCGTATTCGCCATGCGCAGTGACGCGCGTCCCCTGCTCATGCAGATCCATGAATCGGGCGGGCGAGTGATGATGGTGACGACGATATCGGCGACGACGAAGATGATGACGAAACTCATGGTGATCGCGGTGGCGATGATGACGAGGCCGGCGACATCGACGATGACGATGGTGATGACGACGACGGCGGTGATGATGATGATGATGATGACGATGACGATGATGATGAGGAGGAGGATGATGACGATGATGATAATAATGTTAATGACGATGGTGGTGATGATGATGCTGATGATGATGATGGTGATGACCATGGCAACGATGACCAACCATTGGGGCTTCGTATGACGACGATGGCGATAATGTTCGAGCCGACTGTGGGGACGATGTCGACGACGACGACGATGGCAATGAAGCTGGTAAAGCTGCTGGTGGTGATACTGACGGAGGCAGTGATGATTCTGGCGGTGATGATGCCGATGGTGCTGGTGAGGATGTGGACGTGCGCGCTCAGACATTTGACGAGGGCGCCGGCACCGACGATGACGATTGTACGTATGTGTTGACCAGCGTCGGGAACCAATGGGTTGGGACGGATTTCGGCGTGCCCTCGCGGAGACGCGCTCGCGCGGCTCACATGGCATCATTTGGCAGAGTTGGCGGGTGCGCAATGGGTGTCGAACGTTTTCGACATTTGCGCGCGTGCTGACCACATGGACTCATTTGACAGAACGGCCAACAGCACACATTGGTGTCGCATGTTTTCATCGAGTGCGCGCGCGGAACTATGGCAACTTGTTGTTGCAAAACTCAGCCACCGTGCCTGCACGGAGTGGGCGTGTTAGAATGCTCGCATGTTGCCTTGGGTCAACGGTTTTTGCGGGTTCTACGGCCGACTTTCCCCCCGCACCGACCCACCTCAAAAAATCACCTTTCTGGCGTTTGTTTCCGCCTCGCAGCGACGAAGATGGCTCCCACCACGGCTTCCAACGCAACCAGACGACATACGAAACTCCCAAAACGGCATCAAGACGGCTCGAGAGGCTTCCAAGACGGCCCACGAGGGACCCACGAGGCCCTCCAGGAGAGCCCCGAGGAGGCGAACCAGACTTAGTTTCAGGGCATTGAAGTTCTGATCTGTTTGGGTTTCCGACCGCCCAGGACGGCCCAAGAGGCTCCAACACAGCTCCTAGGCAGCTAGGTCTCAAGTCGGCCTAAGAGGACCCCAAGATCGCCCAAGAGCCTCCAAAGAGGGCCCCAAGACAGCCCAGAGAGGCCTGACTGCTTCCGAAGGCGTCAGACGGGCCCATGGCCCCCTAAGACGGCCCGAACGGCCCCAAGAAACGCCCACGAGGCCCCCCAGGAGGCTCCATTTCTGCTTCTCCTCCTCCTGTTCCTTCTCCTCCTCGCCCTCCTCCTCCTCCTCCTCCTCCTCCTCCTCCTCCTCCGTCTCCTCCTCCTCCTCCTCCTCCTCGTCCTCCTCCTCCTCCTCCCCTTCCTCCTCCTCCCCCTCCTCCCTACCGCGGAGCTCCAGCAGATATGTCTGAAGCGAATCAGGAGTAAGCCGGAAGCACTGGCTCGGGTCCCCCAAGGCTCCAGGCGAGGCGCAACTGCTGTTCTGAGGCGGCTGGACACCAAAGTCTCCGATGAGGCTCGATGCTTGGGCCCATACCTGTCCCCGTCTCGATCCTTTCGCGCCGAACTCCAGAAGAGGATCTCCGCTATGAACGCTGCCTCGCTGGGTCAGTTTGGTTCCAGAGGGGGGCGCCTGTACGGTGGAAGAGGTGCGTGCTCTTCAGTCAGGTGGTCAACACGGCGCTGTCGGGAGTCGAGGCTTTCGTAACGCCCGCCACACCTATTCTTGCCCTTGAGTCGGCGGTGAGAGGCCCTGCTCGAAGGCCATGGCAGGAGAAGCGAATTGGGAGGAGAGTGGTCGTCGCCGCTGTGTGATCACGCTGCATGTCTATCAGTGGTGGCGCCTTGCCCCTTTTGCGAGCGAGCTGCGAGTGCGCTGTATCCGATGGTTGCAAGCCTGTGGTCGTAAGCCCGCTGCTCTTCGTCAGATGCTAGCGTCAGTCTTTGGGACCCTCCCCTTCGAAGCACATCCAGTGTTCACGAACGACGGCTTCCTGGACCCTCGGTCCAACCCATGGGCGGTCCAGTTCCAGGGGGGCATGGAGGAGTTGGTGCTTTGGAGTGAGGACACGGCCTCCTGTTGGGCCAGGGCGAGTGGGTCTATTCTGGGGCCATTTGAGGGTGAGGTATCCCAAGACTTTGTGAAGATGGATGTTGCTGCACGTGATTACGAGCCGACATGCTGGTGTTGAGGTCCCTCAGGTCTTGTTCCAGAAGATTTGGAGGCTCTTGATGATGGTGCTTTGATCGTGACGCTGGCGCATTAGCGTCCCTGGATGACGCCTGAGGGGCCCTGTGGGGCCGCCTTTCCGTCGAAGTCGGGGCTCGTGAACCACCTGAAGCAGGTTCACAATACCTCAAAGCTATTGGAGGCCCTGCCCGTCAAGAATCAGTGCATCTCCTGCAAGGAAACCTTCTGGGACCGCAAGAGCGCTCAAGAGCACCTCCATGGGGCACCCAGTTTGGTAGGTGTCTTGCCTCAGGAGGCCTCTACAGAACGGACTGCACCTGTTCTGAGTCTATCGCAGGTCGCGTTTGTGAATCCGGCTGGGAGTCTCTGGGCTCGTACAACGAGCACGCGTGCTGCCACTTGCACATTCAGCCTCGCATCCGGGCTATGCGCCATGGCGGACGAGATGGACATGGAGCTCATCGGCGGCGAGTTGCCCGTCTGGGCGGTAACCATGTGCGGGGTCCACCGGCCTGGCGCGGGGGGAGGCGACGAGCCGACGGCGAAGAAGAGCCGAGGGGGAGGAGCCTCCAGCGAGGCCTAAGGGTCCCAAGGCGCTGCTCGAGGGCAAGGTTCGGCAGGCCAGATGAACGCGATCAAGGATCTTCTAGACCACGTCGCTCGGCTCTCTCGTCACGGCCCAGGATCAGGCGCTCCTCCCAGGCAGCATTCTTGAGAGTAACCTTCTCGCTGACGGGCACTGGCTGGCCAAAGCAGGTCAACTTCAGGCCAATCGCTTCTGCACCAACGCCGTCCAGGCCCTCAAAGAAAAAACAAAAAACGACGAGCCGGTGGATTTGGCAAGCACGCGGCCAGCCTTTGTCACAGTTTTCTTCATGGTGATTGCGGCGGCGAGGAAGGCGGCGCAGGGAGCAGCAGTGAAGCCGATGCAGGACTTCTGGACGGCTCATGTCGAGGGCAAGGGCGTGGACTACATCTCGTCATACGTCACTCACTTCTGGTCGGAGGCGCCGCGCGGCGACCACGTCAGCGTCAAGATGAAGGGCAAGGTCAAGCTCCAGATTCATATTCAGCTGGCCCATGTCGCAGACCATAAATTGCGCGATATTCTAGATACAATCTTGCAGGACCCGGAGCCCACCAAGCTGATCGGCTCGGCGTCGCGGGGCCCTCTAGAGCGCAAGATCTCAGACGTGTTGAAGAAGCATTCGGCATGACCAGGTCTCGACAGACAGCGGTAATTCAAAGTGACCCTGACGATATCCATCATGAGTCTCAGTTTGCAGGTCACCAACCACTCGATGAGCCCGTAATTCATTCCTCTCGTGGGCTGTCTGCTGGTGTGTCGAGCTCGGCGTGTGGTACCACAAACTTGACCTATGGAATTTTGAACGAGCAGCGGAATGATGAGAATATGTTGTGCGGTGGCCAATCATTCTATCACTCCATTCCTCTGCTGTGGGATGTTCCACCGGCGTATCGTCATGCAGGAATGTTCTGCGTGCACTGGAAAGTATTCCTGCTAGTTATGGGGAGTCAGAGATACCTGTTCATCCTTGTTATCAGCCTCACCCCCAACATGAAGGGGCAAACTCTTCTCGAACTGGACTCATCTCATCCGTGCTGAAACGAGATCGGAGGCCGTGGACAACCTGTGCCAGAGTGAGCCCGCTCGTTCTTGCATCCCCCCGCCTCCTCTGCCATCCGCCCGCAAGTCCCGGCCAGAGCGAAGTCTCGGGCGGCTCCAACGTGAACGGTTTCGGAGCCTGCTGGCGAGGGGCGTCCAGAAGGACATCCGAGCCACGGGCAGGGACGGGTTTGTGGTGAGGGCGGGGGGGGGGAGCGGTCGGGGGAGGCGGAGGAGGAGCGTGTCGCTGCCGCTGCTGCCGACAGGTCCGAAGGGAGAGTGGCCCCTGTTGCCGGGGACTCGCGGCGTCCTCGGTCCTCGTTGAAGGCGGCTCGGCGTTCGAGGCGTGAAGCATAGGAGTGCTGGCGCCCACAAACACCCCGTACTACGTAGTCGTGCCCATGGGGTGTGCCTTTTGGGCCTAAGGGGATGACTCCCTCCCGCGAGGGCCCCCCCTTCAATGATTTGGAGTCGCTGGGCCATACCCCACGCAAGTACCATCACTTTTGCCTGTGTTCCATGCTTCGTTTTCCGGCTTCAGAATTGACTGGAGCCGTCTCCTCCGTTGGTCTTGGTCCTCCCTACCGCGCGGACGAAGGTGAGGTCGAACTCACGACCCGCATCCGTTCAGACCGCTCGCTGAACTGCAACGGGGTGTGAACTCGACCTCTCCCCGACCGAGCGGATGAAAACGTGGTCGAATTCACGACCTGTCCCAGTCCAGAGCAGTCGTCGGAATTGCGCTGTTCTTGC